ACCAGATTTGGGTTGGGAAAAGGAATTGTTTTGTACAAATATGCCTCCCCATTATAGAAGATGGTTTAAATGGAATTGATTTTACTTGTGATCTCGTGTTGTTAGAATTTGTATGGAAGGATTTCATCTGATAGAGAGGTGATGAATGAACTCTTTCATTGATTTTACATTTTTCCCCCTCTCTGCTTGTGGACCAGTTTAGCTGAGTTTTGAAAAAGCAGCAGTAGTTTCTCAGTTGTCTTCGATAGTGTATCATCTTTGTACTAAAAACTAAAATACTTCTTCTGGAAACATTATGTGAGCTTTTAAGATTCCTTCTAAATGTCCATGTGGGGCCTATTTCTCATTCAATTTCAATCATCTAAACCGTCTATTTTTCAAATTATGCTTCTAAAAAACACTAAAATGACTACATTCAAATTAATTGTTAAATGTTTTCCAATTTAAATGTTTTTTTGCATAGAAAATCTATGAATGATGACTTGAAAAGTAAGTCAATGTGGAGCATATAGTCATTTTTTAAGATTCTTCTCGATTGCTCATTATGGGGTCTATTCCGCATTCATTATTCATATATCTTATTTGAAAATATTTGGACATTTGGACAAATTGTATAACTATTTAAAATATAGGTCAATTAGGGCATATTATGTGAGCTTTTGAGATTCCTTCTAAATGTCTATTGTGGGGTCCATTTCGCATTCTATTTCAATAATTTAAACCTTCTATTTTTCAAGTTACGCTTCCAAAAAACACTAAAATGACTACATTCAAATCAATTGTTAAATGTTTTCCGATTTAAGTGATTTTTTTATATATAGATAACCTATGAATGATGACTTTAAAAGTAGACTATTCACATCATTGAAATACAACGCCGATTGAACCCTACAAGGATGTCCTTTAAATAAGCTTATTTAAGTGACAACGTGACTTAAGCTAAACATGTTGGACAATTCATTTTATGTAGAGGGCTAGGAATATACATAAAGGTGCAAGGCTACTAAAATGAAAGGAAAAGTAATCACGATCGTGTCGTGAATTAGGAAAATTTAAATTCCGTGAAGATAATGTCAACTCATCATGCATGTCATATTGATAATTTCAAGGTTTGCAGGTTTGGAGTCATCTATGAATGATGATTTAAGGCAGTAAATATGGTTTACAAGGCAACCTGTTTATACTTGGATTTGGAATACTAAATCTGGTTACACAACAAATGCCTAATTTGAAAATATGGTCATATATATTTTTTTCACTTTCCTTTAATTCTCTACACCACCATTCATAATATTAATCGGCAACAAAATGAAATCTCTGAGTTAATTATTTTCCATAAAACCTCCTTGTGTCAATGTACCTGGATTTTAAGGAGATTTTATACTTTATATATAAAAAGCAAAAGGTGACCTTCTGTCTTCCCTATAAATATCTATGGCAATTCTCTTTCCTTTTCATGTGCATATCATCTCCTCTCTCCCTTGATTTGCTTTGTTGCCTCTCTTCTCCTTCTTTAGCTGTTACAACTTTTTCGAAAACATGCATTTTCTCGAACCGAAGAAATCTAGACATATAAAGCTGGAGAAAGAGAAAAATAGAGATTTTTGTAACGGCTAAACAAGGGAGAATAGAGGCAGTAAAGCACCACAAAGGAGAGGAGATTTTTCGACCAAAAAAAAAGAGAGGAGATCAAGAACATGTGGAATGGAAGTGAAAGATCCTAAGATTTTATAGGAAAGACAAGGTCTCGTTTTGTTTTTGACAAAGAAGACAAAACCTCGTTTAAAGTCATGTTACATGGCGGAGCTACCATGGGACCAGTGTGATCTCAGGCCCCCACTCCATTTTTATCTCTTTTATTTATATATTATATATGATATATAATATTATAATATATTAGATTAGTTTTAGGATATTTACCTTAAAATAAAATAATATATTAGGTTCTTTTTGTCTACAAATAAACCATAAAATTTCTTGATCTCCCTTCTACTCATCTCCCTTAAATCTTCTAAGTTAGTTTATGATATATGCAATATAAACTCCTAAAGTTTTAACCTTTTTTTCTCTTCCTCTTTTGTTTAAAGCTTTGTGAATTTTTTATTTTCATAATTTTTTTCCTGTATGTATGAGTTGGGTACCTTAATATTGTGCCTTATGAACTCTTTTTTTTTTCTTTTTTCTTTTCTCTATTGGAATATAAATAAATAATTTTTAAGTCTTTAATAGTGTAGACGAGGAATTAGTATTTAATCAATTTAAAATATGAAATTCATGATAATTCATTTATGAAGAGAAGACAAATTTTATGAAGGGCCCTCTCTAATGTGAAATCCTGGCTCCGCCACTCATGTACATTGAGTAAAGGGAGCTTCCATTTTGTTTCCAATCATAAAATATGGTGCAGCAAATTAAAGAAAATTATGCTCAACTATCCATATGTAATTCATTTTTTCTCTAATTTGTTTTTGTTTTTCTTTTTTTATAAGATTTCGGCAGGATGTGGAGGTGGATTTCGACCAGAGATGTTTTACATATATAGACGCTTGGACTTTTGATGGTTAGAAGACATGTTATTTTTTTCTTTTCTTTTTTATTTATTTCAATTAAACGGATTTTGAATGTACTATTTTATCATCATTTAATGAAGTGTCTTTCTTTTAACATTTTTATTAACTATGGACAATTTATGGGATTTTAAATGTTTCACTTTTAAGGCATTGAAGATTTGGACCAGAGATGTTTTACAGATGTAGGTGCTTTATTTTGGGAATCAAGTAAAGGATTGACATAGATCTCATTGCACTCACCCTTACTCCATTTTCATCTCCACTTCAGAAACTATGGAACTTATTCTATAATTTTTCTTTAAATTTATGTTTATATGAATACGTTTTGTCCCTTATATTATGAATGATTTAATCTACAGGGAAAGCATCCACTAGAAAATTGGCTACCTAAAAATTTGTTGGACATAAAAGTTCTCTATACTATGTTTATATATAAAAATAAGAATAGAAAACCTTGGGAATTTATTGATAATTAATCACACAAGAAAAGAAAGAAAAGAACCCAATAATTATTTTTACACATATTGTGGATAGATGGAAAACCAATAATCTTGCAAGATTACCTTATACATTTGATTTATTGATAATTAATCACACAAGAAAAGAAAGAAAAGAACCCAATAATTGTTTTTACACATATTGTGGATAGATGGAAAACCAATAATCTTGCAAGATTACCTTATACATTGGACATACTCAAGTCTAATTATAAAATATAAAGCGACAAAGTTCAAATCTGATATGACAACTTCCATAAAAAGCGCTCCCGCCTCTCTTTCCATGACTCTTTGTTAAAAGTGCATTCTTTGTGGCATCAAGGCACTCCTCACAATAGATGCCAGAAAGATCACGAGTGTATTGTGTCGCACCATAAACTAAATGATGTTCTTTAAATTTATGTTTATATGAATACGTTTTGTCCCTTATATTATGAATGATTTAATCTACAGGGAAAGCATCCACTAGAAAATTGGCTACCTAAAAATTTGTTGGACATAAAAGTTCTCTATACTATGTTTATATATAAAAATAAGAATAGAAAACCTTGGGAATTTATTGATAATTAATCACACAAGAAAAGAAAGAAAAGAACCCAATAATTATTTTTACACATATTGTGGATAGATGGAAAACCAATAATCTTGCAAGATTACCTTATACATTTGACATACTAAGTCTAATCATAAAAAAATAAAACAATAAAGTTCAAATCTGATATGACAACTTCCATAAAAAGCGCTCCCGCCTCTCTTTCCGTGACTCTTTGTTAAAAGTGCATTCTTTGTGGCATCAAGGCACTCCTCACAATAGATGCCAGAAAGGTCACGAGTGCATTGAGTCGCACCATAAACTAAATGATTATTCCCAATAGAAAGCTCTCCTTGAGCATACATTTGTTGGTTACGAGTAGCTTCAATACATAATTTGGTTAATAACTGATTAACTTTATGATCAAATAACAGAGGAGCATTAAATGACTTGTTGTTTGTCAAATAAACCTCGTTAGTCATGTCTGGTACACCAAAGAAGTTTAAACTCGAGTGCTTAAAAGAGGCAATCGTCGTACCGTATTATAGCTCCTTCTTTTTCATGGCATAGCTCGCGAAGCTTGTATGTTGCTCTTGTAACACATTTTCCGCAATCTGTTTGTGCGTGGGTGGTTTTACTCCAACATTTGGGCTGCCACCGTTCTCATTCTCACCTCTTTTTCATCTTCGTCGCATTCTCTAAGGTATTGTTGATTTTAATTACTTGGGTTTTGTTTCTTTTATTGTTATATAGTGTAGGAGTTTTAGATTTTGTGTTGCGTTTTGTTATTTCCAGGATGCCCATAATAAGTTTTAACGTCTCAAAGAATTAGAAGGGGTTGATCGGTGAGTTCTGAGGAGTTTGTCTTTAATATTTTGAAAATAAAGTGGATGGGGAAATAGTACATATGGGTGGGAATAGTAGCACTCTGTTTAAAATGTTCTTGGACTTTTTAAACCACGTGGGGTGATGTAAACTAAGCGACTCTATATCATTAGTCAATCTGAAATTACAAACACAATTAACATAAAAGAGAGTACAAACACACAGAACTTCAAGTTATCGAGATACAGAGCAGCTGCCAATTGCTTAAGCGACATATGCAAACTCGAATATTATTACATCCAAATTAAAACACACAAAACATATATATCAACTGCAAGTTATGATCATCAACTTGGGTATTATTTGATTTTTTTGTTGAAGGCAAACAAGAAGCCGATTCAAATCAGTCGTGGGCTACGCAGATGGTTAACAGGTTATTCCAACCCCAAACCGGGTAGAATCTTCAATTGCTGAACTTGTTTCTGAAAGACAAAAGTATTGTAATTAACAAACAGAACTTCAATGTATAATTTATATTTTGAAGTTTAGGAAAGTCAGTGCAACGATAGAAGATACTTACGTATATTTGTTACATCTCTCTTCGATGAGTAGCATCCTTGCATGATCCACACCTCCTTCTCGAATGGACTCTGCAAATTTCCCTGAAACACATTCAAATGTGTATCCTTGTAGTTTCGTAAGGTGCTCAATACCCTGTGGCAATGTATCTAATCCCAAGAACCTATAAATGCCGAAGAACTCCAGATTTGGCATCACCCCTTTTTCTATAGTCATCTTGTTTAATAATGAGAGATTCCTCAATTCCAAATACCTAAGCTTGACAAAGCCTCTACTGAAACACAACTCTTTCCCAACATAGGAATCATTAAGGCAAAGCGAAAGTAGAGAGGGCAATGCTTCAATATGAGGTAGTAAATCTTCTTCAAGTCCAGACCCACACAGATGCAAACATGTGAGACACTGGAGTGAACAAAACCAATGTGGTACTTTTTCCAGTTTGCCTATCAAGTCAAGTCTATCAAGGTAGAATGACGGTGAAGACAATGCATCAACTTGAAGAAATTCCTCTCCATCTCCTACTGATAAATACAAGTGGGAAAGGACCTTCATCTCTTGAATGGAAGCACATAGGTCCTTCTCGTCACTTACCTTGACATTTGTAATGCCAAGGATCGAAAGCTGGGTCATATTTCCAATAAGTCTAATAATATTTCCTTCTGATTCAATACATCCCAAAGACTGCAATTTCTTCATCTTACTAATACTTGATGGTAATTTTACCCCAACTAACTTTGAACCGCTTTTGGAATGGCACATAATAAGATGGCGCAGGTTTATCAATTTGGAAATCCCTATTGGAAGTGCCTCTATATCTGTCCCAAAGAGGTCCAAGGTATGAAGGTTGCGGAGCCGTCTTATGGATTCTGGAAGCTCCTTAATTCGAGTGTTTCTCAAATTCAAATATTTTAAATTAAACAAGTACGTTAGTTCTTCTGGCAGACGATCAATTGGGACACCCTCTAAATCTAGAACCCTCAACAATGTAGAGTCAAAAGGCAATTTCTTTGAGAAAGAGAATGAGGATACGCTAGTGGCAAAGACAAAAAAAGAACGAAGGTGTGACATACATGTGCGTGGTCCAATTTCTCCAATAGTTGTTTGAATTGACAAACGGAGGGCCCCGGTTTCTTCCATTGTTTCACTCCCATCAAGAACGACACAAAACTTTTCTTTTTCTGCTATAGACAGAGCAATCTCCCGCATAAGGTCATGCATCTTACATGCTGGTTGGTATTCTCGACACCTTTCCTGTAGCATGTTACGAAAAATGAGTTCCATAACATAGTTGTTTGCAACTTCTTCTGGTGTTACCCCTTTAACATGTTCAACAAATCCTTCGGCGATCCACAATCTAATGAGCCTTCTATTCATGATCACCTCATCTTCTGGGAAAAGGGAACAATATAGAAAACATTGCTTCAATCTATATGGCAAATCCTTGAAACTAAGCAACAAGATGCTCTTCATAGGTTCTAACAAAGAATTGTTTGTTAGATGCCAATTTAAGCTATTGTAGACTTTGGTCCAATCAGTAAGTGACTTCTTAGAAGACATGAGACCACTTAAGGCTACGTTTGCAAGAGGCAGACCTTCACACTTTTCCACAAGTTCCTGAGCTATTGGCAGAAGTTCCGGTGAACAAGATTTGTTATGATAACTTGAGAATGCTTTCATGCTGAAGAGCTCCCAAGCATCTCTCCTTTCCAGCGGTTGAATCTTGTGAACATGGCTTTCAACTCCAAAAGAATACGATCCTATGTCCTCTCTTCGAGTTGTAAGCATGACTCGACTTCCAAGTTGTTTATCTGGAAATGAAAGCCTTATTCTTTCCCAAAGATGGATATCCCACACGTCATCCAATACAACAAGGTACCTTTTATTCGCCAAGTAGTTAACCAAAATCTCAACCAATTCGATATAGCACATGGCATTCATGTCTGCAGAGACCTCTTCCCTCCTTGCTTTGTGGAATTCTTTGATCAATCTTTTAAGTAAGTCTTCAATCACATAAGATTGGGAAACAGTAATCCAGGCGTAACATTCGAAATGTTTCTTGACTACCTCGTTGGTGAAAGTCCTTGCAACTAGAGTTGTCTTCCCTGATCCTCCCATCCCGACCACGGAGACAACAGTTTGATGTTGCTCTTTGTTCATCAGCCATCCCATCAACATTTTCTTATTGCCTTCAATCCCGACGAGTTCATTCTCCTTATGGTAAAGAGAAGACTCCGCTTGGTTCTGCACCCATCTGCGAATATCCTCAGAAGTACTTTTCCCTTCTACGGCTGCAGCACCACCATATCTCTCATTTCTCTCTGGAATAGCTCTAATCGTTCCGGAAATTTTCTGTAACTTCTTGGCTATTTGGCCCATATACCAAAGGTTCTTTGGAAAGTGAATGGTTTTGAGGAGCCACTTTGGACATCGACCGCCCCTTTGTTGCTTGTACATGTGATGCATGAATTCATCAATGATGTTTTCGACATCATTGGCCAAGTCTCGAATGCTTGCGACCCACGCTTTCTCTACTTCTGTGTGTGCTTTCTTGCCTCCGTCAGCATCCTCTAAGAAGGATTTCATGATCACCAGCTCCTGCTTAATCTCATCAACTTGATCACGAACGCCCGCTATGGATGCTGCTTCGCTCTCAAGAATGCTTACAAATTTTTCAATGAAGAGGTCTGTTGCAACTAACGCCATAATGGCCTTATTTTGGTATATGCTTAATCAAAATAACATATGTGGAATTGATTCTGGGGAGCAATCAATCATATGCATATTGGCAAAAGCATTTCAGTAACACAAAATTTAGTGAAACAAACAATTGATAAATGATGGGTTTGAGTGTCCAAATACATGGAATGGAAGAGAGAAGGTCCAACAACAATAAAATTCCATTTTGTTTTTTCTTTTCGTCAAAAGGAAGACATTTGGAAATAAGAAAAGTTGGTGCCTTGCCTTAGATAATTATAATGACCACGCAGTCTTGCTTGAGTTATTTATCATATTTTAGATTTAGGGGGATGTATTCAATTCTAACTTTTAAAGACTTTTAGTGCTTATTTGGCATTGCTTATTTGGGGTGATAAGTGATTTTTTAAAAAATTTGGGAAGCCCAGCCCGTTTGGTAAATTATGAGAAAATCACTTATTGTTAAAAATTACTGTGAGAGAAAGTTATAAGAGAAAGCAGCTAATGAGGTGCTTTCATTTTCTGATTATGCTGGAATTAGTTTCGAAGAGGCATTGGGTTTGATGATTATGTGACAATCATTTTTTGATTATGCAGGAATCAGTACTAACAACACTTTTAACAAAAAGTTTACCAAACGCCAAATTGCTTTCTCTCACAGCAAAGCTGACAGCGATTATATTCACTGCACATCAATGCCAAACTGGCCCTTAATGGGTTTAAAATTCTAGAGGTATTCAATTATGACTTTTAAATAGTCTTTAAAAGTTTAGTGGTATTCAATTGTGATTTAAAAAAGTTTTAAAAAGTTTTGTGGTATCCAAAAAATTAATGACTTTTTTGAAAACTTTGTTAAATGAATGATGATAAGTCCATAAAATTACATATTTATGTACTCTTTATACTTAGTTTTTGTAGGAGAATTTGGTTTAAAAAGGACTTATTACTTTATTTTCTCAATTTTTCAGCTTTCCAGAGCAAGTAATTTGTTTTCAACGGAAATACAACTTTTTGGTGGAGTTTTAGCACAAGACCAATTGGAGATGAAAGCTAAGATCTTGAAGATGATTGTGGAATTTTTCTAAAATTTTCGGAGCAGCCAATGAGAGCAGTGTTTGAAGTTAAGTCAGCATAAGATGCAATCCCGTCAAAACTGTGCTGCTGTGGAAGAATGACCATTTGAAGACTTTCCTGATTTTTCCTCAAGGCGTGCAATACATGGATGGAAAGATAAGACAAAAATCTACAATTTACATATTTTTCCCAATTTTTCTTGGAGGAGGAACAACCCCAAACGTGCAAGCAAAGTAACTGACATGTTATCCCAGTCCAAGTAGGAAGAGGAGTCAAGTACTTACCCATTTTGGATTTATGTTTTAATTAGGTTTTTCTTTATTGTTGGGCTGCTGTAAAAGCCCAGCTAGGGTAAGAATAGATGTGGGGGTGTCTTATTTAAGCATGAGAAACAACTACTTAGGGAGGACGGAAAAGACTAGGAGAAATTGGAGACGCCGAAAGAGTACCGCAATTGGCTAAGTTTTATTGTTTCTTCGTTTATGTCGAATTCTAAGATTATGTGTAACTAATTTTCTTTGCTAGGGCATGATGTAGCCCTAGTATGATAATCTAGTTTCTTAATTTACCTATCTATTGATTGTCGTTCGTTTGATGGCACACCTTATCTAAAGTCCATTTCATATATGGTTTTTTTTATATAATTTGGGCTCCTATATTGAGTATAATAGTGAATCTACCTAGATTTAATGCATAGAGACACATGTGGCCGTAGGCTACTGAAGATGAGAATACCGATGTGCCGAGAAATAATCCAATTTTTAGATTCTTTTTGTTGGTGGACAGGTGTACAGTGATGGTACCCTCTAAAATTGAGGATGAGCTCCTCCTCGCAATAAAAAATTATAAAAGAAACAAAAGTTGGAGAAATTCAAAAGAAAATTCAGTTTTAAGGAGTCAAAGTTTTTTCGCTTTTTAAAAAGGCAATAGAATTTTGGCCAAAAGTCGCTTTTGGTCCCTATAGTTTGGCACTTCAACCACTTTTGACCCTATAGTTTCAATTTCGTCACTTTTGATCCTGTAGTTTAATATTCGTAGCAATTCAAGAACATGCTAAAATTTCTGTCAATTTCTTTAACGGAGCAACTACGTAGAGTGACAATTTTGTTGAACCAAAACCCCACGCCAAAGTCAAAGTCTTCTTCAATATCTTCTTCATCATCAACATTGACAGGTACCTCTATCTTATCTTCATTGTGTTCATACACAGGCACCTCTATTGTTCCCACATAGTCATTACCCACTTCTTCTCCGCCTTCACAGGAAATTTGTGAAGCTTGATTAAAAATATCATCAAAATATTCATCTGGAACCTCATCAAATGCTTCGACATAAGGAAATTGTGGAGGGCTAGCATCTGAAAAATCAATGCTATGAGATTAAAAATATTGCTTTACTTTATGTGAATCAAAGCATTCAGAGCTCTTAAAAACAAATGGCATGCATATTGCTTTACTTTATGCAAATAGTGCTTTCTAAAGGCTTTAGTAGTTCAAACATGTATGGGACCACTCCCAATACACACAATATTTTATAAAATTTTCAACCACCATCTCAAGTAGTAACTGCCAAAGCAACAAAGCAATAACTTTCCAAACCCAAAGTTATAGCCATTCAAACAAAATAAAAAAACAAAACAAAACAAAACAAGGCCACAAAAGAATGGAATAAACAAAAACTGGAACCCACTTATATACATTGAAAACTCAAATAAAAGTTATAAAACAATTTCGCATAGAAAACTGAACCTTTAAAGATTCTGAGTTCACCTGGATTATTGAAGCCTCCATGGACTTCACCTCTCTTCTTCACCATCGTCGTTGCTTCTTTATAGAAACAACAACCGATTGAAGTTATGCTAGTCTTTTCGCACCCTCTCATTGCACTCAATCGAAAGCCTAGATGAATTTCACTAAATTTTTTGGAGCCCTTATCCTAATCTGCTTCAAAATGACCAATTTCGCGAGCCCTGGGGAAGAGGTAGAGACAACGTGGGGCTTTGGACTGACAATATTGCCCCTCCACGTGAGGGACACGAAGTTGCTCCGTTAAAGAAATTGACAGAAATTTTAGCATGTTCTTGAATTGCTACGAATATTAAACTACAGGATCAAAAGTGACGAAATTGAAACTACATGGTCAAAAGTGGTTGAAGTGCCAAACTACAGGGACCAAAAGTGACTTTTGGCCTTGAATTTTATTACATCAATATTAGTAAAGATGCGTTTTGGGCAAGATAGTATAAGCTTAAGCTCAGAATAAAACCGAAATGTACAATATCTTGCTAGTGGAAGTGGGCTGTGACAATTGTAAAGTAAGTATTTTTTATTGAGGTTTGTTTTTAATCTAAAGTAAAAGGTAGAATATTATGTTAAGTTAAAATTCCTTTTTTTCTTTGCTTTATGGTTTTTGCTTTGGCAAGGTCTGGTAAAGGAAGGAGATAGGTAACTTTGGCTGGTCCGAAGACTGCCCTTTTTCCCTGCGCGCTCCAATAGCCTCTGGTTTTTTGAACGATCTGCCTTGAGATTTGCTTTGCCCACATGCTGGAGCCTCCCAGCAATTCACATATATAGGCAGCTTTGGCTTTTGTCGAGGCTTTTGTCTCCAGCCATGTGCTGGAGATTGCAGATATTTTCTTCTTAGTTGCTTGGGCTTTCCTAAGGTGATGGGTTAGCCCATTAAGAGAATGGGCTAATTTCCTAAAGTTATGGGCTATCTTATTAAGCTGATAGGCTATTTTATTAAGGTGATGGGCCAATTTTTCTAGAGTATTGGGCTAATTCTTCTCTCTTTTATGCTTACCCACATATTTGGGCTCAAGAAATGGGCTGGAGTTTTGGGGCTCCCAAGCAGTCCAAAACTTCCATTTCTCGGCTCATCAATGGGCCTCATGAAAGCTCGTTACCATCCATGCCACAACCCACTCAGCAAGCCCCGGGCATTTGCGTGGCTTGGGCCCACTTAAGCTTGTAGCGTGGCTAGGTGTGAAATAATGATTTCTCGCTTGGCATGACATGTCGATTGGCGTGCTTGAATTTTATTGTCTTTGAAAAAAGACATGATGCTTAACGGGGTAATTAGCATGAGCTCATAGAGCCAGTGCATTTTATAGGCTCTAGCGTGGCGGATTATATATTTATTTGGCATGACACGTAGATCGTGACTTGTGTGAGCGTGAATGACGAACTTTCGCGTGCCCGAATCAGGTTTCTTCTTAGTAAGGTATTGTACTATGCCCGAAATATATTTGGGCCTAGCTTTAGATTTTTTGGGCCTCAACACTCTACACATGTAGATGATGAAGATAGTAAAAAATTTGAACCTCATAGAAACTTTATGTGGTACTAAGTCACTCATGTATTTTACCACGCAATGTATAAAGTGTAAAATATTGTAGTAAATCATTATAAATAAATGATTATGGTGTGTTTAATCTTATTTCATTAATTACTATATATATTTTCTACATTCATAATATTTGTCAGCTCGCTATATAATCAACTTAAATGAGTTAAACCCATTATGCAAATCTTTTTTTTTTTCCAATCTTTTGTGATAAACTAATAGATAATTTACTAAATAAATTTTCTTCCAAAGATTCAATAAAAAATTTCATTCGTTTCTTACAATTTATGTGTTTTTTATTTAATTTTTATCGATATTGATAGTTTTCCAATACTTCTTTTGAAATTTCTGTATTTTTGTACAACCGATATTTTATACATCGGTTATAACTGATACAAACTCATAAAGATTTTCGATAAAAATGGAAGCTCGGATTTAGAGAATTTAGATAGTAGAATCGGCACTTCAAAAGTAACTAGGTTTGCGAAAGGACGCGAAATGGACGAGGATGAATTCCGACGCCTTCTCGATCTCTTCCCAATCGTCCGATCTCGCGACTACCATGTAACTCTCTCTCCTCTCTCATTCATCATCACTAAAAGCGATTGTTTTGCCTTTGCCTTGCCTTCGCTTTGCGTGGTTTCTTCTTTATTCTTATAAACAATTCTTCTTATTTGGTGATTTTGATGCTCTATAGAATATGGGTTTTTGATGAGTTTCTGAATCTATCAGTTAGAAATTCGTCGTTTAGTATTTAATGTATGACATCCTGCCTGTCGTTAAAATTTGTTGGACATTGGGCAAAATGGTTCCTAATATATAATCTGGGTCATGTGCAAATATTGATTTTTATTTTCCATGAACGAAATTTTATCCTTTTCTCTATTTTCAATTGAAGAGGACTATTTACAGGTTTAGAAGGTGGAAAAGAGATATAAGAAAATTAACTTCTAAGTCAGCAGAGTATAACATCATCACTTTTATGTTCCTGGAGTCATTGAAGATGCCGAACAAGCGGCCAGGGCGCTGTGTAGAATGATTAAGGGATGAATCAATTTAGAGGGATGATGGATAGCATTAAGCAGTTTTAGCTGATGTAGATGTTTTCTTGACTAAGAGAAGAAAGCAGGTTGAATAAAATTGGTTACAATTTAGAGCTAATTACATTGGCAGGAATCATCAAAGTTTTCGTATAATTTTCTTGGCCAGCAGCCCAAGTGCTTTACTTGATTATCTTTATGTAGTTTGAATTGGGGAGGGGGTGGAGGCTATATTTAGAAGTGTTGGACTTCGGCATAGTTGAAACCTCAATAAATAGTGGTTTATGTGCTTGACAGGTGTGGAAAGTAGATATTTATATGGTCATAGGTAATCAGGGGAGCACAAATTAAGTTTTGGGAGGATTGGTGGACAGGGGAGTCTCCTTTGTGTCAATCCTTTTCCCATCTTTATAATCTATCCAACTCTCAGAACGTTTCTGGTGAGAGTATAAATCTCACATCATGAATGTCAAGCCTTGCATGACAGTATATAAGCTGGAACTTTGGTTTTCATAGAACTTTGAATGATGTTGAGGTTGGGGAGCTTTCTTCTGTACTCTATTTGCTTGGAAGTTGTTCCTTTCAACTGGAGAGAACGGCCAAGAGATTATGGAAACTTGAGTCATATGATTGTTGGCTGATTGATGAGCCATCTCTCCCTGTGTTCAGTTCCTGTCACATGATTTGGAAGGTTAAAGTACCATGGAAGGTACAAATTTTGAGTTAGATTAATACTCATGGTAAAGTCAGTCGTTATGACATATAGGGCGAATGTTTGTTTATTTTCCCATTAGTTCATTATGTGCAAAAAGAAGGCTGAAAGTATTGATTATGTATTTCTTCATTGTCCTATAACGTTAAAGCAGTTACATAAGTTATTTTTCGAAGCAAATTAAATTAGTTAATTTATGCATTTGGCGGAACGACCACCCAATTATGTAGGTGGAAGTGACCATTCTTTACAATAAATTATAATGTTTTTTGGTTGCTTATATATACATTAGTCCATTCTTAGACAACTTTGTATAATGTCAGGCTGAATTAGAGCAATCTAAAGAATCAACTTCTAAGTCAGCCCAGTACGAAGAGGTATTAGTAATTTTTTGAACAAAATTTTCCATTGTACACACATTCACACTGTCACATATGGTGCTTGTTGACATATTTGAATTTTCTCAACAGGTGAAAGAATGGCAGGATGCATGGGATGAGGGAGATAAAAAAGAAGTGGAGCAGCAAGGACTTGACCAACATGGTATGTCTAACATACGCTCTCTATCTAGCACAAACTGTACATCTTATTGTCTTTGGGGTGAACTAGTGTGATGGCTCCATAACCTTCAGAGCCACTACTGCCCATTGTACTCCGTCATTTGGCATATTACATTTTTGTATATGTGATGAACTTTTAAAAGTTTCACTTAGGATCTTCATTTTCTTTTATTTATAACAAATATCCTGATTAGTGAACTGCTTTTTGCCTTGTTTAGCTATCTTTGTATAGTTTCCTGTTCTTAGTGATTTTCAATTTTTTAAATCATTGCAACCCTGAGGAATTCTCATTTTTATAAGCCAGTTGGCATTATTATGCAACATTTTCTAAAGTTCTGTTCTTTCCATGTCATCAGTTCATAGTATGATGTTTCCTTCTCCTCCTCCTCATCATCATCATGATGTTGTTTTTATGTGTATACCACCAGTTTTCTAGTGTAAATGTTAAATTTTTTGAACTTATCTGGATGTGTACTTGCAGGTGCATTTTGGGAGAAGCTAAAGTTGGTTGCTGAGAGAAAGGTATGCCCAACTTTGCCTTTGATTTTCATTGGATATGTGGGGATGGTATTTTACATATTATGAATATCCAACACGATCTAATGTACAAAAATTTGGAGCGTTGCATCATATTTTGACGCAATAGGATTCTGGACAATTCAAAACAAGAAGAGATGAACATATTAATGCGTTTGTAAGCTTACAATGCATGTGTTTATGTTGTAGTGATTTTTGTTTGCATATAATGATGTTAGATAAAACATAACTATGAAAAATATAATTGTTCCATTTTAACCCTTTGTTTCATTCTGAGTCCAATCCTTGATAAAAATTAATAATAATTGTTCTCAATATCTAGGCGCGGAAAAACGGGTCTATTTTGTTGAATGTTTTAATGTTGAGCAATACTAAGTTGTGTTCTTTTCCCTTTTGTGTAAGTTTTTAAATAAAGTGAAAGACACTTCTGCAGTTAAAATAAACACATAAGAAACAAAAAGGGAATCGATACAACCCTTTTTTTTCCTGTATGTTCATAATAAAACAAGTCTCGGGTGAATTTTTGTAGGCATTATAGGAATAGTGGGCCCTTTGCTGCCTTGAAAATATTTAGCGAGTTTTGGACCCACTTTTACATGACAAGGCAAGAATTGGCTTGGTATGTTGCTTGTGTTTTAACTAGCTTATGAGCTTTGCCTTGAGCTCATTAATCATTTTTACCCTCAAAGTTCAGCTGGAAAAAACCTTCCCAAAAGTTCCGCACTCCAGTGTACAATTCGCCATGATCTTTCAAGGGAACATGGCGAATCCTTACATTTATACTTTCTCATTTTCTTTCCTCCTCTACCCTCCCCCTCTGTATTTTCTTTCCTCCTCTACTCTACCCCTCTGTTTTTAATTATTTTAAGTTGTTTGAATAAATGTTTGTGTGAAAGGAAATGTGAAACTGCCTTGTGCAAGTGATTATTTTGCAAAAGGGAAAGGGGTAGGGTTGGGTGTGGGTTGCGGGTGGGGATGGGGTGATCTGGTTGTAGAGGCAAGAAATAAACAGAGGGAGAGGGAGAGGGAGAGTACAAGGAGGAGAGAGGGCAGGGGGAAAGAGTGATAGGCCAAACGGATTTTTAATGGATTTTCATTTTTAAAAAAATACTTATTTAATTCACATGTCACAATGTAATTGAACATGTGGGCTCCACGTATCTTCCACATTAGACTCTAAACATAATTTATAATTACTGGGATCATTTGTGATAAAAAGCCATAACGTTAAGGACTATTAATGTCACAAAAAAACCTCTAGAACCATTCGTGACAATTTCATAAACCTCAAGAATCATTTGTAATAAAAAGCATTAAATAAAATTATTCTTAAATTTTAATTTGATTAGTTAGGGAGAATGGAATCCGGTATGGTCGATCGGATTTTTCGGATAAGATGCTAACCCTAGGTACAAACCATCCATAAAGTAACAAGTGATAAATACGGTGTTTGAAGTTTCTGTATGAGTTTGGTCAGTGGTCTGACTTCCAGGAAACTTCTGATCAAAAGTCCATGAAATTTGGCAATCATAACAACGATGTATGGAATGGCATTATACTGAACTATCGGCAACTTTAGGCTTTTCGCTGCTGTAAAGTGTAAACATCGGGCCCTTCTTCTAGAGGGGCAGTAAAGTCATAGATCCATGGACGCCTAAGTCAAAGATGGAGCACCACCATTCTGTGAATTCTAATTAAATAAATAAATAGTACAAACAGAAGCAGCCATGGCCATGTAACCGTGTTTCTCTACAGATCCAAACGGCATAGAATATATCCATTTTACATTTTCCATTTTCCATTTTTAAATTCCTTAAGAGAGCTGGGATGACAAATATAAATAACGACAATGAGAAAAAATTGGTCAAATATCTAAATCACCAAACTTGGACTTACTCGAACACATGTTTAACTTCAGAAAAACAAGATTAAATAAATTTAGAAAAAATCAAATAAAATAAAAACCCCCCAAAGTGGACAGGACAACAGAGCTCATCTTCCGAGGTAGGCAGGAACACTTTTGTAAGGTAGAACAATGTGAACGACTTAGTCCGTGATTCCTTGACATTTTATTCATTTTATGAAAAATATGCTCCTAGTAAAAGCTCATACATTCTTGTCAATAGCAGTTTAATATACGTGTAAAAATTTTAATTTTAATTTTTTTAATGAATTATTTTTGCACATATGTCAAACTGTAATTTGTAAGAAAGAATATCTTTTTCTCTCTCTTTTCAGAGAGACAGAGGCAAGCGGTGTGCATAATTTAGATATTCTAATTTTTTAAAAAGAAAATCTGAAGAAAAAGAAAAGGAAGAGCATCACACCGACAAAATTTTCTGGCTTGTAGTAAGTAAAGCACATCAAAACAGTCCAAAAATCACAGCAAATGATGAATATGATATATGCCAATCTGGGGCCTCCACAGCACGCTTGAGCGGCAAGTGGTTGGCTTACCGCCTTTGATTTTTATGATTGCTTTCATGTGGTCTGCAGGTGTCATGTATCCACATTAATAGCACCTTCCAGGCAGCTACAGCTAATACCAATCAATTAAGCAACGACGACGAGATTTGTAGATAAGTGGTTAAATAACATTAATTGGTGTGTCCGAAGTTCGTAGATCAAGTGGTTAAATAACATTTATTGGTGTGTCCGAAGTTCCAAATTCGATTTCCTTCTTCTAATATCGCTTGTATTTTAAAAAGAGACAAAAATAAATCACAAGCCAAACTTGGCATTGGACTTATTGGTGTAGCTCAACAGACACCAGCCCAACAACATAACCATGATTTATTATAATAATAAAGCAAATCATCCGCATATATTATTTTACAAAGGAAAAGAGGAACCTTCCATTTCGTCAGCACCTACATTTCCATTTATGATATGTTTAGTTCTATCTCTACACCATGTACTTACTGATGATAAAAAACTACGTTGACCAGATGGTCAACGTAAATACAAATCCTTGTTCAATGCAGACAGTCTGGAGACGGTACAAATTGTATATACCAGGGAATTGTTGTTTTGGTTTTCTTGAAATTGCACAAAGTATCTAGATTTTGGTACAACTTTTTAATGCTATCGTAATAGTGGGTCCGCATGTTCGTTAAAACTGTGAATCTGAATTACACATTCTAGTAAAAGCATTCACAATTTGACAAGAAACGATTTCCGGTAAATATAGTAAACATTTTCATTAATCTTAGGCCCGAGATTGGTCCCTCAAATTCAATCGAGACCCTTTTTCTTGTCACCGTACAAATATTCCATTTCTAAATTTCATATTAATATGTACAAAACACGCATCAAAAAGACAAAAGACCGACTGCTCTCTATAGCTACTACACCATGTCTGCTGGTACCACTATATATATATCATCACACCACAAAATACCAACTTGTTTTAGTTTTAACCCAAAGTGAAAACCCAAAAAGAGGTACCTTGCTTGCTTTGCTTCCTTTCAATGCTTTGACACTAGTGGGTGGGTGGCAGACTGGTTTGAGGTCTCTCTTTTCCCTCTACTTTTTCGCCGAACGTGAGTGGTTGCGGATAGCAACCCGTGATATACAAGTTCTTCTCCCTTTTTACATTATATCTTGTTCGAGAGGTAAGGACTCAGTTGGAATTTCCTATGGGTTAGTAGTTTGGGGGCAATTTCTTACGCCTCTCCAAAACCATATTCCCACTCGGTTTCTCCAACTTGTTGCCAAATTGCCAAATCCTCACCTCCTCGGAAAACAATATTTTCACTGGTTTTTTTTCTTTTCACCTGCACATACATATAACCCATTTGACTCAGTCGAGTGTTGTTTTCAAATCAATTGTAACTAAACATATAATGACATAAACCAAGAAAATAATAAAAAAATCCCTTCTTTTAGACTTTAGCTCAAAGCAAGGACTGAGAAAAAGACAGGCGTAGGATCCAAACATTAAAAAAAAGGAGCTTTAGAGTGGCATCCCACAACAAGCAAGCTCTTGAGTCTTGAAGGTTGAAGCCACCTAACTCTCTCAATATCTGTTCTGGTCCTTATACCTTAGCAAAAGAACAATGCAATAAGCCAAATCTCACAAAACCTCTATACTCTAATAAAATTCAGCAATTTCAAGCTGAAAATTACCAAATGGGTGTTTAAGGTTTTGCAATCTATTGCCAACTAAACTTAATTACTTGCATGCAAGGCGCTTGCAGCTCAAGTCCGTAAAAATATTTATCTCTGCACCCAAGTTTCTAGATTCAATTCTCGGATCCTTGATATCAATTGTATAAAAATAAACACAAAAAAAACTAAATTTCTAGCATAATGGGCTCTAATCTAACCCATTTCCAAACTGCCCTAGCTGCAAATTGATTATGACTTGGACTTATCTCTCTCTACCTAATAGTCCAACTTTCCCGGGAAACTGTTACTGACCAAATACTCCACTGAGTCGACTCGCTAACCACCGAGTCAGCTCGCTAACTCACACGAACAAAAAAATAAAAAGTGAAAAGAAAAAAAACACGCTTACCAGTGTGAATGAGCAGAATCTCAGTCCCGGAAAATGACCTTCTCGGCCAAACCCAACAAGGGTTTCAAGCAATTCGGCGAGAACTTCCTCGCGAACAGGTACGACTCCGACAAATTCGATTTCCGCAGCCGATGAATCAGCTCCGCCGACACTTCCTCGGCTCGGTAAGTGTACGGGTGCCCGTTTACCGTACCCGTCCAATTTACCTGGGTCAGGCTGTATCGGGTTAACCCATCCGGATCCGCCATTGACAACAACGTCGGAAAATAGTGCTCCTCCGGGTAGCACTCGTCTTCTCGATAGCACGGCATTTTGAATTTTCTCCACAGCGCCCGATCCTTCAAAACCACGAGCGCGTGGCGTCGGGTGAGGAGGAAGAACTGGGACCCGACCCGGAACTGCTCGAACGGGACCTCCGGCATCATCGCGAAGCGTCCACGGGCGGCGTACCGCTTCCAGAGACTGGTCGATTTGGAGAGGACCTCGATGAAGCTCTTGGGCCGGACCTTGAGGCCCATCTGGGCCAACTCGGCGTCGGAGCCGGTGGCGGGTCGGGTCAAGTCGAAGGTGGTGGAGAAAAAGAGCGAGTTGTAGACGTACCGGAAGGAGTGAAGGGGGACGCAGTACTGGGACAAAACGGCGAAGAAGAGATTGGCAGGGTCGTCGATGACGGCGGAGGCAAGGAGGCGGCGCGTGGCGGAGATGAGGGTTGCGGAGGCGCGGTAAGTGCGCTTGGAGGGGACGAGGCGGTTGTAGAAGACGGTGCCGGGAGGGAGGGTGACG